AAGAATTTTGTTACGTTTTATATATAAATAGAGCAATTTTGAAAGGAAATATTACTATCTTCATTTGTGAATTTTGAGCACATGTTCCGGCTTAAAATTTCAATTTGCTGCGACAGTATTTGAATTAAAACAAAATTAGTTTTATAGAAGGCTTACATTTCACTCAGCCTTTATATTTATAAATGATGTTTATTGTAATGCCAAATAGTATACTTTGATCTTTGTGTATACTATATATATAGTGTATATGACAGATTGCCAGATTCCAGTGTTTGTTGTACAAAATAATATACCTTGGCATGATGGCATCTACTCAATTCTCATATGCCTACCCAGGCATGTCCCAGCTAAACATGGTTTGAGAAGATTTATCAACTGGTTTCAAATTAACTGGTACTTTCATAAGTTTCCAATATTTATTCATATATAGGTGGGTCAGTTTAGGATAGATAAAAATATCAATTTGATGTGTTGTTGTCGTATGTGGCAACTTGATTATAGATGTGTCCCTAACTGGAAACAGTTAAAGTCCTTAGTTTGCTTGTTCAAACTTATGAATACATTTAGTTACACCACATGTCTGCATGACCTGCTTAATAATATATGTAACAACCTTTGGGCTACATTTTATATATTTTAGAGACACCCCGGCAAGGGTTTGATTGTTTTTGGAATTACCCATTTCACTCCAATGAGCCCAATATTCAGCACTTTGTTATTAAATGTTATCTTGCCTAATGCCAGACAATTTTATTCATGATCAAGGGAAGTGTCTAGCTAGCGTATTAGACTCTGCCCATGTTTCATGTTGACCTATAACACTTCCTACTTAAGTATACTTTGATATTATTATTTAACTCTGACATTTTATGCTAGACAATGTTACTTACCGACTGTGGCATGCTCGCCCATATCTCAGTACTTGCCTTTCACCTCTAAGGTCGCAGGTTCGAATCTCAGTGAGAACTTCTCAATGTGACTCGAACCCAGTCCTCATGTGAAAAGAGTAAAAGTCAACGCTCTGCCGAAAGTCGTGGGTTTTCTCCGGGCACTCCGTGTTTCCATCCACAGGGAAAGTTGACAGGGTGGGTTAGGGACATAGGTCTGGAGGCAGATCATTAATGAGGTATGGACTAATAGCGGCAGCTGCTCAAGTGCCATTTGTAAGCTCAAAGTCTACCTCGGTCTGCTTCACGTCAGTCCGGTTCTATCTATCTATTCATAATGTAACCAGTCACTGAAAAGCCCTGATGTAGGGAGTGTGCTGTGAAATATTTGTATCTGTATCTCACCTAAATATTAACACCTATAAAGGTGCAATTTGCTCTTACCTTACTTACTTACTTACTTACTTACTTGAAGAATGAAGTTCTTTGTAGGGGTGTGCAGGATAGAATGTTTTTGCTATTCAGCTGCATACAGGATATATATTGGATAGTTGAAAAATATCCAGCTAGATTCAGGGCATTATTCAAATGTATAAATTTTTTTCTAACCTGTAAAGAAGGCCTGGACTTAGCTGCAGCTTCGCTTCGCCCTATTCTTGATGTTACATGATGTTCTTGCTTTTTTTCTGCCCAGTCCCCAGCCAAGTTACTGCATGTATATACTTAACTCTTTGGCTACTATAGAGACTGCTAACTACAGATATTTAACTCGTTTATTGACAGACCTCTACCTGATAAGTAAAATTGTCTGGCATTTACAGACGGTAAATACTAAAGTAGGTCTGTAATAGCCTCTGATGTTTCAGCACTTCTACACTTGTTCTCAATTTCTTTTACTAATTATATTTTATTTAAAGACTATTTACATTATATGTTTTAACTTTTTATTATCTAGTATGTTTTAACTACTGGTATTTATAATATATTTTAAAAATATTTATAGGCTATATGTATTTGTATACACTATATTTAATAACTATTTTAACTGTATTAACAGGACATATTTTAACTGTTTATTTAATATGTTATTACTATTTTTTAACTATTTTTATTCTATCTGGGCAATATTATATCCACTATTTATTATCTATTTTTAACAAGCTGGGATGTATTTTAACTATTTATTATCTATTTTTAAAATAATTTTTAAACACTCATTAATAATTCACAAGCTTATTGGCAAATTATGTCAACCACAATATGTCACGTGCAGTGGCTTTAAACCTGATAAAACACTCCTAATTAGTATTCTTTATATAAAGAATACTAATAAGGCAGTATCTATTGTAGTCGTGTCCTCATTAGTATTTTTGATATAAAGAATACTAATAAGGCAGTATATTATATATTATATATATATTATTAAATTTGTCACAAATATTTACAATGACACTGATAAACAATATACATAACAAGCTACAAGACAACACACGTGACTGGAATGTGGAACAGGACTTACGTCCCAATTAATACCTCACCCCATATATACTTCATAGGCACTTTCTCGGTGTGAGAACAAACGAAAGCTTAACACTAATCTGAACTTGATCATTATATAAATTCTAACTGATTTACGGTTGTTCGTACACCGAGCTAGTGGGTGAACTTTACTGAACTGAACTAAATACTTAGTACTTATATTACAAACATTTTCACAAAACTAAATATTAGCTACGGTTATTAGGAAGTTTGTATGATTTTGACTTGATACTATATAAGTTATTTAAACGAGTTTTAAACGAACATAAACTACTGGATTTCTTAATTTCAGTTGGTAGGCTGTTCCAAAGTTTTGCTGATCTAATAAAGTAAGAGTTTTGAAAGTATTCCTGATTATGTTTTATAATGAGGTGGAAGTTATTTTCGTCATAGTTGCGAGATTGATAGGTGGGATTATAAGTGCATTAATAGTGCATAATATATCTATTGAATTTGTAGTCGTCTAATAAAACCTAATAAAACACTCCTGCTCGTTTATTGAACAGTACATCACTATTTTTTAACTATTTATTATCTATTTTTAAACTATATTATCACTATTTTTTAACTATTTGTTATATATTTTTAAACTATAATATCACTATTTTTGAACTATTTATTGACTATTTTAAACTTAGTTGAAACTCATTTCAGCTATTTATTACATATTTTTACCTATATTGTCACTATGTTTTAACTATTTCATACGTATTTACTATGTCGAAATTATATATTTTTAATAATTTCCTTAAATAGCTCTATTTTTATCATATTTGAAACCTATTTAATTTCTATTCGAGTACATCAATTATTATAAGTATTTGTTTAGAAATATATCATGAATAGGTAAAAATATGGTTCCACTTGGATAGGAAAAAAATAGCCTTTTTACCCTAATTTAAATAGGAAAAACCTCGAAAAAAAAGAAGAGTAAAAATAGGAAATAAATACTGTGACAAATAGGAATTAAATAGCCCAATAAAATAGGAATTAAATAGCAATTAAATAGTGTTTGATTCTACAAGGGTTGCTTCAACGTCTGTTATCATCGCTACTAGTCCTTCGCCGAATCGCGTCAAGACTCTGACCAAACTATTGGTAAGGTCTGGCCCCCTGTGACAGTTCCTTGTTTAAAGAAGTACCCCCGCATTCGGCTGCACAATGGAACACGACACGAAATTTACCTAGATTCTGGGGATGGAAAACGGGTGATGTGATAGATACCAGGTGGTATTGCTCTGTCGGTGACGTTTTCCTCCGGTATTTTCCTGGCGTAGCCTTTCCGCAGGAGATCTTTGGAAAAGGTCGCTATCTTTAGTTAATCTTTTCTTCAACAACATTAAACTACGTACTGCGATAGACTTGTTCTTTGGCAGAGACGGCTGTGTGTTCTTCCAAAATAGGGCTAGTTCGTAATGGTTGTCTTTTAATCGAATGCTTTCTTCCATAATCTTTAACGGTCTTTTGTCCAGGCATGACATCGCTACGTCGTCTTCTACGTCATTAAATTCCCGACTTTCAAAATTGCCGGAAGATTTTCTCTAACTCGTTGCTCTGAATGAAGTGTATGCAGAGTGCTTGTACTTGCATCCTTTGATCTTGCAGAAACTTCTTTTCTGGCACGAACGCACCATGTGACCAGGTACGAGGCAATTGTCACATAACTTCAAGGAACGCACGAGTTTAAACCGGTCTTCGATCGATCTTTTCTTAAAGTCGTCGCACCGAGAAAGCCAATGACCGCTTCCACAAGATGGGCATTTCACTGCTGTAAGAGGCGAGTTGTCGTCATTCCCCTTTGTTGCAAAGGCTTATCCTGGAGTCGATTTGGTGTTCTTTCCAACAGTGTTTTCGGATTTATATAGTGTCTCTCGAAATCTTGCCAGAAATTGGGTGATTGCAGGTTCTCTCTCGTTTCTCGACAAACAATGTGACGTCCGCGATGGTGATCTCGCGCTCTTTGACTTCGGTGGTGTCATCGGCTACATCACGCCATTTTTGTCGCAAACCAAATGGTAATTTTCCATAATAAATGTAATTTTTCGGGATTTTCAATTTTACTAACATAGCCAATTTGCTTAAAATGACGATGACGTACAAGAATCGGTAGCTTAGTAGCTATAGTGTTGAAGTATACGCAGAACATCTGCATTTAAAGATACAATAAAAACTTGGCTTAAAACCAATCAAATTGCGCGAAAAGCACTATCCACATCCCAACTATGTATATATACTATCATCTTTGTTCTAACCACTACACAAGCATCCAGTACAAACTATCTGTTCTCAGTAGCGTAGCCAGCCCGACGATTTAGTCCCGCTATGCAAATATTTTTTGTGTTTACTGTCTGTGAAAACAATCAATTTCTAAAGAAATGAATAATGATAATAATTTTCAATTTGCATAGCGGGACTAATTTGTCGGGCTGACTACGCCACTGTGTGTTCTACATTTCTTCAAATTTCGCTTGAATTAGCTTCATTTTTAATTGATACACTCGATAGACCCAACTGAAAATGAAACTGAACTCAAGTTAAAAATTACATGTAAAGAAAATGACTTAATATATTCACTTGTTCTTTTGATAATATGGTGGATAAAGATAAATTGACTGAGTTTATGAAGAAAGCGACATCACTGGAGACAAAGGTTTGTTTTCATAGATGTATTGTGACTCACTACTGTTTATACGGCTATACTGGACATTAAGGTGAAATACAAAATACTATAAATACTATAGTGCTCTAACTGACCTCTCCATGCAGTACCTCCACACAGAAATCATGATACAGGTAATCCCAATTGAAATGGCTCCTGAAAAGGCTAGTGCTACAATTTGTTAAGTACAGAGCCTATAGAGCTTAAAGGAATTAGCGACTACATGGGAACCAGTTTGTGCATGGAACACTGCAGTAATTATGGTAGGAATCTTTAAAATTTGGGTTTTTTCAGCTTGAGCTAGAGACGACACTACCACAGGAAACGGAGGCAATTAGTAACCTAGAAAAGAAAGTTGCTGGTCTGGAAAAAGAAAAAGCAGAATTAAAAGCGGTGAGTATGAAAGAATGAAGGAATGAAAGGAGTCTTTTCTTAATTATTTATGGTAGTCTCAAAACTTGTGTACAGCAAAAAAATATTTAACCAAGTCAAAAATAAGTGGCAGACTCTACCAAAATTCAAATTCTGCCAAAACAAATTGGAGTCCAGTGGTTGAGGGCACAATCGATTTGCGGTTAGGTGGAAAACACAGACATGGACAGGCGAACACACGGACACGCGAACATGCGGACGCGCGGACACAAAGTTCACTAAAGTTGAAGAAAATTATTACGAGAATAATTAACAATTATTGAATCGGTTTTCGCGTGATATCGAAAGTTATCAAGGCCGAGGTTGTGTTATAACACTCTTAATGCTGTCTTAGTTTGTGGTTCGTTTAGCGTATTTTGCTACTTTTTCAGTTACAGATGCAAATCTCGCTATGGCTTTATATTTTCTGCATGTAAAGAAGTTCGTTTTTGCTGGCAATTATTTTCTGTAGGGTGTCATATTTACATGCAGAAAGCTATTATCTGCACATGTAACGTCATAATACAATTACATTGTCACACAATATCAAAAATTATTTGTAGGCCAGTAGCCAATCAAAACAGAGATTGTATACGAAATAATGAATGAGTGGCACAAGCGATAGTGGCAAAAAAATGAAAATTGATAATGGACTGTTGCGCGAACCTAAACTGTTTTGATGTATTTTTACTTTATTGTATGAAAGATTCTGCAAAATCCACTCAGAATCATTACCAAATACAAAACAACGGCAACTCAGAAAAGAAACGCTTTAATATTAAAATAAGAAGAAGAGGAAGAAGAAGAAGAAGAATTTATTCGCCCCAGTCAAAAATACATAATTGCAAATTTTTTCCACACATTATTAAGACAGAGTTGGCACAGGATATCTGAAATAGCTTTAACACTAATCGAAGTCAGATAACCTTATTAAAGTATTCATGCCACTGTGGGTCAACATTGGGTTTAAGGTCATGGTGCACGATGATTATACAAATGCAAATTAAAATTTATAGACATATGAAAAAACAAAAGCAAGCATAAAGCCAGTAATCATTAATTATAAATTTGATTTTAGTTAATTTGAAAGCAAATGAAAAACAGAAATAAGAATAAAGATAAAGCTAGTAGTCATTAATAAATTTGATTTTAATTTTTTTTTAGTTAGTATTTTCAAGCTGTCATCTATATCATTCCAAATATAGGGTCCCTGTGATCGGGTAGAAAATTTACCGTAATTTGTTCTTACAATTGGTATACAATAACTAATTGTTGTTGCTAGTCTAGTACTGTACTTGTGTTTATCACTAACGAAAAAGAAAAAATCGTTAAAGACAGTGGTGAGTCTATTTGTATAGAAATCGTGCATAAATAATAAGTTGGACATCTTTATTATATCAAAGAGCTTTAAAAGACCGAGATTTTTAAATAAAGGTCAACTAGTATGTTCATCATATCTTGAGAAAGTGATTATACGTCCTACTCGTTTCTGTAAGAGCACTAATGATTTCAAGAAAGATTCGTAGGTGTTTCCCCAAACTATGGTCCCATACGTAAGAAAGGGGTATATCAAAGAATAATAAAGCTGAAGAAGAATGTTAAATGTAACATAATATCGTCATTTTGAAAGAATGCCAATGCTCCTCTGAATTTTTTTTTAAATATTATGAATTTGAGTTTTCCAATTTAAATGGCAGTCAGTATAGATACCTAGGTATTTAACATAGCTTGTTTGTTTAATGGAGTCACAACTGATATAAAGTTTAAGATCATGGGTAATTACTTTTTGAGGCGTACAGAATATAACGTAATTTGTTCTATCAGTATTCAAACATAGTTTATTTGCAGACAGCCAAGAATTTACCTTAATCAAATTGTGATTTATCAGCTCCTCCAGCCTCAATATACTATCATGCGAAAAAAATAGATTTTCATCATCAGCAAACATATGAAAGTCAAAAAGGTCAGAGCAATTTTCAAATCATTAATATATAAAAGGAATAATAACGGTCCTAAAACAGAACCTTGAGGCACTCCACAGGAAACATGCAATTCATCTGAACTAATACCCCTTATTGTGACATACTGCTTTGTGTTTAACAAATATGATTTAAACCAATCTTTAGCTCTGCCCCGAATTCCGTAGCGCTCTAGTTTTGTAATCAGTATATCATGATTTACAGTGTCGAAGGCCTTACTTAAATCTAAAAATATTCCACAAGAGTATTGTTTATTTTCGACTGCTTTTTGGATTTTATCAGTAATAAGTGTTACTGCTTGTACAGTGGAGTATCCCGACCTAAATCCGAATTGGTTTTCAGACATTATATTCATTTTCTCAACATACCTCATCAACCTCCCATACATTAGTTTTTCCAATATTCTATTAAATATAGACAATAAAGAAATTGGTCAATGATTATTAACATAAATTGCAGATCCATTTTTAAATACAGGCACTATCTGAGCAATCTTAAATTTATCTGGTACAACACCAGTGCTATAAAGGAACAATTATACAAAATCTCTAATGGTTCAGATATATTGCAATATAAAATTTTTAGCAGCTTTGTTGGAATACTAAAAGGACCACTTGTTTTTGATATATTGAGTTTGGCAATTTCCAGTTGAATCTCATTTGCAGTGACTGGTGAGAGAAAAAAACTAGTTGGTATTGAACATGTATTCAAGGGGTGAAATATCGTTAGAACTAATTGAGTCAACAATTCTTGAACCAGTTGAAGAAAAGTATTTGTTAAATGTTTCAGCAATTGTTTTAGTATCTGTGATTTCGATATTATTCTCAACTATTTTACTTTGTATTCCCTGAGTGCTCTTTGTTTTTGGATTAACTATGTCCCTAATTCCAGTCCATATTTTTTTTTAAATTAGAAGAGTTTTCTTTAAAAAAATTTTGGTAATAATTTTTCTTGCTCAATTTTATAAGTTTGCCAAGTTTATTGCTATATCTTCTGTATTCCAAAATTAGAAATTCATTATTACTTCCTAACTGTTTCCTATATAGTCGATTTTTTTGTTTAATAGACACTTTTATTGCTGAAGTGATCCATGGTTTAAGGCTAAAACTGACATCTTGTCTTGATAATTTCTTAAGTGGTGCATGATTTTCAATCACCTCTGAAATCTTACAGTAAAAGCTGTTAAAACTATCATTCACATTATTATTTTGTGGTAACGTTACATTCCAATCAATTGAAGAAACTTCATTAATCAAAGAAGCCTCATCAAAATTAGCATAGTCTCTCTTAAAAATATTTGTTTTAGAAATGTTTATGTTTTTATGAATTATAAGGAAATTTGGTAAATGGTCAGTTAAATCTGAAAATATATTTCCACTTAGAGTATGATAGCCTAATGAATTTATAAAGATATTATCAATTAAAGTTGCACTATGATGAGTTATTCTAGTGGGTTGAATGATTTTAGGATGGAGATTGTATGTAAACATGGTATTAACAAAACTGTCAGTTGGACCATGTGTTTCATAATTTAGTAGATTAATATTAAGATCTCCCATTAATGTTAATAATTTATTCTCATTAGCAATTTTGTCAAGGATAGAGTATAAATAATTAGTAATATTTTCAAGGTTTGCTTTTGGGTGTCGATACAAAACACCACATGTTATTCCCCGATCATGACCTTCAATATCAATCCACAATGCTTCGAATTCATTTTTTGAAGTGCATAGATCATCTCTTTTCGAGTATTTTAAATTATTGTTCACAAATAATCCAACCCCACCTGCATTTGATAGAGAAGGTTGTGATAAAACATTATACCCACTAATGTCAGTATCAATTATACAATCTTGTTGCTGTTTTATCTTTGTTTCCAAAATTCCAATCACAGAAAATGGAAACTTTAATTGGGAGAGTAGTAAAGAAAGTTTATCAATATTGGCTGCAAGACTCCTAATATTACAGTGTATGGTTGAAAAAGATCATGTTTGGATAAAGATGAAATTTCCCTACAATTGAGAAATCCTGCTCGGAATAATAATTAAAATTTATCTGACTAGGAACATGTTGATCAATATCAACATTTTGTAAGATTGAAATCTTTGATATTGCTGAGGCAACATCAAAGCAAGGCAAATCATTTAGATCTAAGTCACTCATGATTAACATTAAATATAGTTCCATCTATTATTAAGCCTTGTACTAATTTACCACACAACAAATATTAAATAGATTGGCAATACAGTACTGTCAAGAAATAACCTAACAGTGCGGTTGCGGTTAGGTCGCGGTTAGGTCGCGGTTAGGTCGCGGTTAGGTTGAGGTTAGGTCGCGGTTAGGTCGCGGTTAGGTTGAGGTTAGGTTGAGGTTAGGTTGAGGTTCGATTGATGTTCGATTGCGGTTCAGTCGCGGTTAGGTTGATGTTAGGTTGAGGTTCGGTCGAGTTTGACCGGTTGAAACCGCAAGCGAAACCTCAAATTAGAAATGCGATCGCTTACCGTCAATTTCCGAGTGCAGTGGTATTAAGAGTTTTACTAATGCCGCAATGGCAAATTGGCAATACCTTGACTGTGCAGAATTGACGGGTGATGAGTTTTACTGTAACACCGGTTTTCAAAAGATGTGAACGGATCTTGGATTGTCAACTAAAATAAGCATGTTAAACCTTTCAATAAACCGGGACATAATTAAGCTCCGCGAACTAAATTTATAAACATAACGAGTGTGATGCCAGGATTGTCACTACTGACGCTTAAGTTCCATACAGTTCGTATATATTATACTGTGTGTCGCCCACTGATCTAGTGGTGTCGCCTAATCGAATTATACACTGTAAATTAAAAAGGGCTGAAACGACCCCAAAAATGGGGCCAAAACGGTGACCGCAAAATAGATCTCTTTTGGGGTTCAAAATGGCACCTATAACAATGCGGCCCCTAAGGGGTGATTTTGCCCTTCAAGTGTAAGGGCTGTTTCAGCTTTTAGTAGGAGCTGTTATGGCAAAAGCAGGGGCTATTTCAACTTTCAATAGGGGCCAATTCAGAAAATTAGGGGGCTATTCTGGCATTTCGAGGAGTTAATTTGGCTCCTATTTGTGGTCATAATGAACCCCAAAAAGCGTTGATTTGGCTCGCTAACCGGAGCTGTTTTGGCTACTGAGTTACAGAGTAGTTTCAGCCCCAATGAAGAGCTGCTTTAGAACCGAAGGAGCCGATATAGCTTTTCTAATGGTGTAGTTTTTTAGCACCCAAAGGGCCAATATGGTTCTATTTCCGAGCCATTGTAGACCACAAGAAAGGCCAATTTAACCCCTACCTTTTTAACCAGAGCTATTTTGGCCCTCTCAGAAGAGCACAGTTTTAGCCCCAAAGAAGAGCTGCTTTAGAGCCGAAGGAGCTAATATAGCTTTTTTCATGGTGTAGTTTGTAGCACCCAAAGGGTCAATTTGGTCCAACTTCAGAGCCATTATAGATCCAAAAGAAAAGCCAATTTAACCCCTACTTTGTTAACCGGAGCTGTTCTGGCCCTTTCAGAGAAGAGCAGTCTCAGCCCCAATGAAGAGGTGCTTTAGAACCGATCGAGCTGATATAGCTTTTTGGTGGTGCCGTTTTATAGAGCATTTAAAGTCATGTGGATTTGGTTGCACTCTTGCATGTAGACGTATTCTACATGTATATAATGAATCAGGCAAAAATATTGGGGTTTATTTGGTCTTGATTAAATTATTACAATTTCTCCAACAGACCAATATTGGAATGAATGATCGTAATATAAGTTGAGATAAATAATGTTCCAATTTCTGTATTATAAACACAATACTATAACTAAAATTACAATATACATGCACAGTAGTCAGTATTATGGATCTCGCCGAAATGTGGGAACCATCAAAAGATTCGTACATATATGCCATATGGCTCCGAAAGTTTACAATTCTAATTTTAAAGAGCAATCAACTTGTGATAGCAATAGCAGGCGCGGTTGTTAACGTGAACGCAATACGAATAATTTCTAATACATTACCACAGTTCGGTGAGATGTGAGACAATACACACATTCCATCAATAACATTAACTTGGGTTAGCATATGTCAACATAACTCTCAAAAAGTGTAAAATTACTGTAGTACTACTAATATTCATGAGTCATGACAAGTCATTGAAGAGGGCTGTAACCCTCATTGGCAGTTGTATGCCATTTTCTGTGTTGCCCATGCACTACTATAGTCTCCAAGGCAGACAAGACGCTCTTCGTGTGGCAGTACTCAATATTGAAGATGTAAAAACTTGCCAATAAGGCGATAATTGCATCAAAACAACTGTTGCTTGTTATGGAACTTTCATCCTTTCCCTCGATAACGTATGATTGACAGTTTCTAGTCGTATTCTAGTTCGCTGCCAACGGCCACAATATGGGTTGGGCCACAATATGGGTTGTGATAAGTTTGAAATGGTATCATTTGCATCTTCGGACCCCTAAAAAAAACACAATTAGAATGTATGCAATAATCCGCAATTACAGGGGGTTATAGGACACATAAGATATAAGGCCTCACTAAGAGAGATAAACCCAATAATAAAGCTCTTACATACATCAGACACAAAATACCTGAAAAAGTATATCACACCCCTATAACCATTCCAAAAGCATTAAGTATAACATACCAATATACAGTAATATTTTGAAATATCAAAATATATGCTGCCCGCAACAAACTCGCCCAAAAATAAGCTCACTATAAGCACACAAATATTATTCAAATTTACAGTATACTGTATCATAAGTAAAATAAATACAAAATTGGAAACATGAATTTCCATAGCCTGGTACAAGTGATTCAGGGAGACTGCATAAAAACATAATACATGATATACATATATTAACTATACGATCTTATTTAACCCATTAAGCACCAGCGCTCTCCCCTTTACGAGTAGAATAGGCGTTCGACAGAGTAGAGTAATAAAGTTCAAAATCATTTTGTTCGAATTACTTCACCTATTTATTTGTTTAAAATTATGTATGGTAGATTCTGTGGTATGAACACTTGCAAAATTACTCAAAAAAATTTAAAATATTGTGACATTATGTTGCCTTGACAACACTTGACACAACGTGAGCCTGCGTTCAGTGCTGACCAATTGCTAATACTTCATGTTAAATCAATGTTTGGAAAATATAGGCTAGGGCTTGCTGCATGCATTTATCTCTAGTTAAATATTAATTGGACATACCCATGTCACTAGTGGTACATTAATTATATCTTGGTCAGACAAGACAAATTCCATATTTAAGAAGTTTGGCAACCCACAGGTTAAAATAGACATCTTGTGAATTATATCACAAAAGATTAATCAATTTTTGCTGCAGCAAGCACAATTTCACCAGAAACATGTAACCTCTTGAGTTTACACACCCCAAAACAACACTTTCATAAAATGACAGCTTTCCTTCATAATTTAATTTTATAACTGGACTTAGCTGATCAGTTCTTATAGTTTTTATATTTTTAAACTTT